AAGTCCGGAGTCGAATCCCACAGAGAACTAAGGCTTAGCTGTATCTATTTAATATAACCAAGAAGACAAGATTGAAAATAAATAAACCATCTGAAAACTAACTATGCTTGAATTGTAAACAATTAGAATAAAGGTCTAAGGTAATGGTTTCCCCCGTTGTTGATTTCCTTGGTTGTATGTTTCTTATAGCGTTGACTTAGTTGCCTCTATCAATCATGAACTCTCCAGCTATCATAAATCTCTCTCAAGCAATTAAGATAATTTACTAGACGCACTCTCTCAAGCTACGCTAGCTAGATTCGCATTACAGTTCACTTAGATCGCACCCGAGGTATCGTTATCTTTAATCCAACCTCTAAACCCTCGGTTATGACTCTCGCCTATACTCCGGGAATGATGTTGTTCAAACAACTACCTAAATATGCACTCTCTCTCAAGCAGATACATAATAAAGAGGAACGGCTAATTGAGGATCCTTTCAATTAACCACAATCAAAACATAGTTGAACAAATAGAGATTAAACTAATTCAAATCTATATTACTTATAACAACCAATTCAACCCCAACGGGTTTCACCAAAACCTTAGATTAGAAAAGTTAGCTACTCATGAAAATAACAAAAATCACAAAAGAATTCATATTCAAAGGTAAAAGAACAAAGAAGAAGATTAAAGATTGATGCTCAATGATCCTCCTTGCCTCTTGCCCTTCCTTCTGATGTTTTTCACTTCCAAAAATCATTCTCCCCCGCTCTTGGCCGGCCTCGCCCGTTTAATATAGGGTTAGGGCTTAAAATCCCGTGTTTTGCACTTTAATCCCTGAAATTTACGCGTCCTGCCGCGGTCCCACCGCGGTTACGCCAGGACCGCGGCCAAATCACCTCTCAGAATCCGCAACACCTTCCTGCCGCGGTCCGACCGCGGTTATGCCGGGACCGCGGCAGTCCATCTCCAGTTCTGGTTTTGTGCATTTCGCATGGTGCACTTGGCGGATATTGTGTGATTGGCCTCTTTTCCTCCATAATTGATCCCAAAAGTACTCCATAGCCTTCTTTTATTGTATGTAACCTGCAAAGCATGAAAAACACTAATCAGAGCATTTTGTTATCACTTTTACCATAAAAACTATACAAGAAAGTGGTTCTTTAGGGCTTAATTATAGTTCAATTCACCTATTATCAACACCCCACACTTAAACCATTGCTCGTCCTCGAGCAATCAAGCTACACTTTTTTTTTTATTTTTTTTATAGACACGACCTTTTTAAACAATTCTCCTAACTCATCACACCAAGAGTATTTAAAATAGACTAAGCACAAAAGTGTAACATCTTCACCTCAAGATTTGACTCACAAGTACCACGCATTATTCACAACTCACCTACTTACTCTAACATAGAGGTCACTGACATTACCTTTCCTTCATGAATCAAGTACCCTCACACAACAAAAGAGAGTAGTTCCACGCAATAAAATTTAAAAACACTTAGGAACTCAAGATAGAAAGAATTCACTCACTCTCAGAAATAACATTCATATGCCACAAAAGATGCACGATAAGCTTGCCCATAGTGTACTACTCCACTAATCGAGCTCATTCAATCTAGGATCAATTAGGACTTTATTTGGTTGTAATGTAGGCTACGGGACGGGTATGATATATTTAGATATAAGAGTGACTACACCTCCCTAAGTACTTTAATACATACATTTTAGCATTTAAACCCTATACTTATGTCAAACCAAAATTCCACCTTCACATCAATGTAAATTACCCCATTCTTCTTTAAGCACACTTACGTCAAGAGCCACCACTTATCAAGGAATTTTTTTTTCACAACAATCCAACTATATTTTTTTTCAATTCAAGTGGCTCTTCCTTTTTCAAAACAGTGCACCTTTCTCCTTATTCAATTAGTTCCACTCAAAAGCCAAACCAACCATCCCACACTTTAACTTTTACAAAGTTCATAACAATTCAAGTACTCATGAGAGGTGAAAAGGTTCAAATAGATGGTTAATTCAAACAAATGGGTAAGGCTTGTAATGTGGTTGCCAAAGAAAAAGGATTATAGGCTCAAAGAGGTTAACTACGATACATAACAATCAGGTTGGTAAAATATACATATCTGGCTCAACAAGAAAACGCCTATATCACTTCCAAGAATGAACAACACTACTATTTCGCTTAGCAAACACACGGGGCAAGTTCTAGGCATCAAATGCAATGCACAGAATAACACCAAACCTCACACACACATGGCACATAACTCACTCAGGATTGGATTCATCAAGACACTCTAGTCAAAGCAGTTAAGCAAATTTAAAATTATACAATTTAAGGTACTTATACAAGAGTCAAAAACAGAGCCTAAGCGTCACAACCAGAGTACTCACTATTCTCAAGGCATAACAAAGTCAAGAGATATTGCTTCAATTCAAAACACAACACAATGGCTCCTACTCCTAAAAAAAACTAACTACACCCGGTTCAAATAAAACCCTTGGAAAAGAACCGTGGCACAAAGAAAAACCAAGGGGGAATTATTACACTACCTACAAAAAAAATCTTTTTTTTTCTTTAAGACTTAAATCCCTCAATAAAATTGTCTAATAGATCCATCGTCGGAAAAGTCCAATCTTTTAAAAAAACTATTTAATTAAACTAATACAGCTAAAGTAGCATGAAAAGTCACCCAGACAATCTCATCACCCCACACTTAAAATTGTGCATTGTCCCCAATGCACACCATAACTAATAAGAGGGTAAAAGAGACTCCCTGGTAGGCCAAAGGCCGAAGCACTAACAACTCATGGGGTACTCAGACTTCTCCCAAGCTTGGTCCTTCGTGCGGGTACCTCACACTTAGTTCCAGCCATTTGGTTTGCTGTTGCATCCTTCCAATACCTTTGCTTTTCATTCTCCTAAAAAAATAAAAAATTGACACTACAAAAATAATACAATTAAAAAAAATAAAAAAAATAAATAAAAGAAAGCAATAAAGCTGGGTTGCCTCCCAACAAGCGCTTGATTTAACGTCGCGGCACGACGCGAATCACTTTTTGCCTCCACCTCGAGCTTATGAATTGAACCCCAAGTTTTGCTTCAAGCTTATGATTATGCTCTTGGGGCGGTACAAATTCTTGCGAGCCAAAAATTAGATAAAATCTTATGCACTTGTTGGCTCTCGACCGAGGAGTGTCACCTTGCCTATACGGCCTTGAGAAATCCAAAATATAAGGCTCATCTACCTCTTCCTTGGACTCTTTTTTATGCTCATAAGGGTGAATTTTCATTTCACCGTCTGAACATAATGTAGAGAAGTACTTGGAATGAGGCCCAACGCGATCAAATACATGAACTTCAAGATTTTTAACCTCCTCAACACCAATCACACTAGAGTCAACTAAATTTGTATCTTCAACGTCCTTGGTTGACTCTAGTATTACTTCTTCAACATTGACATCCTCAAATTTTAGTTGGCTAGGTTGTTGATGTTCTACTCTGACCTCCCCAATTAACACCTCAAATTCATGCTCTTCTTGGCTACTATCCTCAATATTGGCTTGTTGAGCATTAAAAGCTCCAACCACTTGACTCAATTGAGCCTCCAACTTGCGAATAGTTGCCTCTTGCCTTTCTATGTGCAATTGTTTCTCATTGTTTTGTTCCAGAAGGCACTTTAGCATATCCTTGATCTCCTTCAGGTCCGCATTCCCAGGTTCTTTGTTCCTATTAACTTCACAAGAAAAGGTAGAACCATCATAGTAAGGGGTTGGGGGAAAATAAGAAATATAAGCACAACCATGAAGGTGACCATTTTTACCACCACACACATCACACACATTCCACAAATAAGATTGAGTTGGTGCACATAACTCGCTCTTAGGAACGTTTTGAAAATTTTGCCATGGGTGGTTTCCTTCACAATATGTATGGAGATCAATAGTAGAATTATCTACACCTAAATTCCCATAATTCCAAGATGCCATGTTCTCGAATCGATAGTTATATAAAAAAAATACAAAAAAAAAAAACAAAACAAAAGAAAACAAAATAAAAGTTCAAACTCGTAACCTAGCAATATATACAGCTACAACTACACCGTTAGTTCCCCGGCAACGGCGCCAAAATTTGATCACGCCCAACTTTAGTCCTAAAAAGGATAAGCGGTCGTTGCAAATATAATCCGGTCTAAAAGTCCGGAGTCGAATCCCACAGAGAACTAAGGCTTAGCTGTATCTATTTAATATCACCAAGAAGACAAGATTGAAAATAAATAAACAACTGAAAACTAACTATGCTTGAATTGTAAACAATTAGAATAAAGGTCTAAGGTAATGGTTTCCGCCGTTGTTGATTTCCTTGGTTGTATGTTTCTTATAGCGTTGACTTAGTTGCCTCTATCAATCATGAACTCTCCAGCTATCATAAATCTCTCTCAAGCAATTATGATAATTTACTAGACGCACTCTCTCAAGCTACGCTAGCTAGACTCGCATTACAGTTCACTTAGATCGCACCCGAGGTATCGTTATCTCTAATCCAACCTTTAAACCCTCGGTTATGACTCTCGCCTATACTCCGGGAGTGATGTTGTTCAAACAACTACCTAAATATGCACTCTCTCTCAAGCAGATACATAATAAATAGGAACGGCTAATTGAGGATCCTTTCAATTAACCACAATCAAAACATAGTTGAACAAATAGAGATTAAACTAATTCAAATCTATATTACTTATAACAACCAATTCATCCCCAACGGGTTTCACCAAAACCTTAGATTAGAAAAGTTAGCTACTCATGAAAATAACAAAAATCACAAAAGAATTCATATTCAAAGGTAAAAGAACAAAGAAGAAGATTAAAGATTGATGCCCAATGATCCTCCTTGCCTCTTGCCCTTCCTTATGATGTTTTTCACTTCCAAAAATCATTCTCCCCCGCTCTTGGCCGGCCTCGCCCGTTTAATATAGGGTTTAGGGCTTAAAATCCCGTGTTTTGCACTTTAGTCCCTGAAATTTACGCGTCCTGCCGCGGTCCCACCGCGGTTACGCCAGGACCGCGACCAAATGACCTCTCAGAATCCGCAACACCTTCCTGCCGCGGTCCGACCGCGGTTATGCCGGGACCGCGGCAGTCCATCTCCAGTTCTGGTTTTGTGCGTTTCGCATGGTGCACTTGGCGGATGTTGTGCGATTGGCCTCTTTTCCTCCATAATTGATCTCAAAAGTACTCCATAGCCTTCTTTTATTGTATGTAACCTGCAAAGCATGAAAAGCACTAATCAGAGCATTTTGTTATCACTTTTACCATAAAAACTATACAAGAAAGTGATTCTTTAGGGCTTAATTATAGTTCAATTCACCTATTATCAGTGCACTTGCCCCGATCTTCTTTGCAAAAGGTTGGAAGAAGGAAAAGAAAAAACTTATCTTCAAAGACCACGCACTTCCGCCTCCACCAACCTAGCTTGATTATTGTCAGCTCAAATCCTTGCACAAGTAGCGGTATGGCAATGTTGGTGATCTGAGTTGGCTAAAATCATAGCCATTCTTTTTCTACCCTAGGCCAATCCATTAGTTTCCGAGTCAACCGTCTTAAGTTTAATTGCATCACTCTGCATGACAAATGAGTCACTACAAACTTTATGATTAGTATATCTCTCGACTGCAAATGTCACGTGCCCCTACACATGTTGGATCATTATCTGTATTATCAAGTTTGTAAATTGACAAGGTTTTTGATTTTTAGAGGAAAAATACATACTAGTAATTTGTACCTTAATTTGCCCCAAAAACTCATTTACGTATGCATCTTAACTTTACGAGTGACCCATCACGTTTATCACCGATTAATGTTTATCATAAAATTTTAATTACCATATACATGAAATGATATTGCAATAATTTTGAACTATCGTTATGTACAAAGTCTACCTCCTCCGATCCATTTTAATTGATTTTTTTAGCTATTTTCAGACATATTAAGAAATTCACTAAAATTGATCATATTAACCTTAATTTGTTCATTGAAAATATAACATATACTCCTAGGCTTTTTACTCCAAGAAAAATAAAAAAAGAAATTAATTCCTTTTTAATATCAGAAAAAATCAAATATTCTAGACCATAAAAATAGAACCAAAAAATTAATTAAAATGAACAAAGGGAATAAGTTATTATAGCGAGGTAGTTGTCATTTTTTATCTGATTCTCAAACAGTGCTTATTAAATAGAGTAATTTATAGTTACTTTTTAAATAGGATAAATGTATACATATTTGTAATATACCATCACGCATACAACTTAAACTCAAAAGGAAATACATTACGCTGTAGACATACATCTTTTTCGCCTATATAAGTTTTGTCCGCTCCTATGTTCCCCCATGCATTTCCACACTCTAAAATCTCAACAACCACAAAAACTCAGAGTCTCAATTCAACTTTCAGATCACAAACTAACACACTGTTTCTCCACTGAGTACTCTAATGGATGATTTAGACAATGGAATTAGCATCTGCTGTCGGCGGAGCTACTCCGGTAGAGAGTACAAACGTTTCGTATCGTATAAATTGCCGGCCGTTAACAGATCGAACAAAGCACCGGCAATCTGGAGATTGCTATGGAGAAAGATGAAAAAAGAGAAGAAGAAAATTTTTGAACGCTCCAAGTCCAAATCAATGCGGTTTACTTATGATTCCCATTCTTATTCACAGAATTTCGATCAGGGCTCATTCGTTTTGGCTGACGCTCAGGAACTTTCTAGATCATTTTCCGCTCGTTTTGCTGTTCCTTCCAGAATCTTCCCCAATAATGAATTAATTGTTTGATGGAGAATCCAGACAACTCTAGAAACTGGAGAAGCATCATTCTTTGTGTCATTGTAGTTGTCATTTTTGTTTCTTCTGTAAATATATTGTACGATATATCTAATTTGGTGTTAATTATATTATGACAGAATTAATTTAGATATGTTTTTTACGTTCTACTGCGACAGTTTATTCTAATGTTGTTGGTAAATAGGTAGTAACTTTTTTGGTAAATAAGTTATATGTACCAAGTCGGATCTAGGAATTTTAGAATATGGATGTACCACTAATAAAAAAGAAGGAAAAAAAGCTTAAGTGGGAATTGATCCTTTAAGTAAATAATTCAGCACTCAATCAAGTGTACTATGCAATCGTATTGGAGTATGGGTGCCAACAAGTTATATTAGATCAGTTTTAGGAAATATGCACATAAAATATTTAGTTTGGCGGAATGACCATGGGTTCACATGCACCACTAATAAATCATTAAATCTGCGCCGTTTGCATTGTCATTGTAAGGGACTTTTACACCATTAAATCATCTTTACCTATTGTCTCAATTAATTGCCTTATTTTTAAGATTACAAATCTCATCGCCAATAGATATTCGTTGGGTGATCTAATAATATAATTTTCTTTACAATGAAAGTATGTACTTATAACTTAAACTAAGTCATATGAATTTTCTTATAATGACTTTGAATTTTAACTTGTTAAGAATTTCTTATGATCTTATCCATGTTGTCCATGAAAGTTCTAACAATTTGCTTCTGTTATCACAAGTAAAGTTAGATGCTTTATGGATATATAGATCTTTTTTTTTTCTTTTTGCACTTTATTTTTCTTTTGATCAGCTATATATGCTTTACAGGTTATTCTGCCCCTTATCTTGACTTCTTTTTCTCATTTGATGTTGAAGTAACCCAATAAAGGCGATAAGAATATTTCATTGAGTTCCTTTTTCCTGTTGAATAGATGACAAAGCTTAGCACACAATCGAGAAATGTTTTCAGTGAATCTTTTTCCCATGTGGAAAAATTGACTGCTGACCAAAATGTAGGGGCGGAGGTAGTATTCAACAGACTGGTTCAATTGAAATCATAACTTTTGAGATGGAATATAATTTTATGTGTAACAATTAATCAAATTACAAAATATAGTAGATATGACCCATAACTTTACAAGTATAATGAGTTTAATGATAAGATGATAAGAACATTAAATATTGAATCCATAAAAGTTTAAATCCTAAATATAATCCGTCTCTGCTAAAATGTCGCACAAATCCATAAATGATCCACTGAGTTTCTTTTTGCTATAGTCAAAGGACACCATTAGCATGGCAGAGCTATCTTTAGTGAAGCTTGAACGTCCTTTGCCGAAAAATCTGCCGACTACATGGGAACAGATGTTATATAGGTTGATTCTAATTCTTATCATATATTGTGCATTTATATTATTTCTTGTATATATATATTAAATGTTGAACACCTTTAACAAAATTTTCCGACTCAACCCTTGACCATATGCAACCAAAGAACTCTTGCCTAACTTTAAGTTTAAAGCAGATTAGGTGATGGAATTATTCATTTGAAAGTCGCAATTTACATTATGTTATATCATGAGAGGCTAGCTAGCTATGGTAGTTGTAACGACACGGCCGGTCGTTTTGAGAATTAACGCTTGATCCCCTGTTAATTGTTTCCCCCGTGTCTTTTTCTGCTATTGTAATTTGTCGGAATGGTTCATTTTGAGTTTCGGAGTGTTTTGGGACACTTAGTCCGTAAATGAGAGCTTAAGTCTTAGAATTTGGACCGTATTCGGAATAGTGTGAAGACGGCTCCGGAATGGAATTCAGTCGATTCCGTTAGCTCCATTGGGTGATTTTGGGCTTAGGGGCGTGTCCGGCTTGTGTTTTTGAGGTTTGTAGCACATTTAGGCTTGAAATGGCACAAGTTGAATTTTTGGAGTTTCAGGCCGATAGTGGAATTTTAGATATCGGGGTTGGAATCCGATTCCAGAAGTTGGAGTAGGTCCTTAGTGTTGAATATGACTTGTGTGCAAAATTTGGGGTCAATCGGGCGTGGTTTGGTCGGTTTCGGTATCAGTTGTAGAATTTTAAAATTTCAAGTTCATTAAGTTTGGATTGGAGGCTGTTCGTGGTTTTAGCGTTATTTGATGTAATTTGAGGGCTCGACTAAGTTTGTATGATGTTTTATGATTGGTTGGTATGTTTGATTGAGGTCCCCGGGGTCTCGGGTGAGTTTCGGATGCTTAATAAATTGGCTTGGGACTTATGCTTTTTGCTAAAGTTGCAGCACCTGTTGTTTTCGCACCTGCGCATTTTGGACCGCTGGTGCGGAGCCGCAGATGCGGTTATGGACCTTGTCAGCTGGGATCGCAGGTGCGGCTGGGGGACCGCAGAAGCGGGCTCGTAGATGCGGCCTAGTGCCCGTAGATGCGGCCCCAGCCCAATTAAGTGGACTTCGCACCTGCGATGATTCTTCCGCAGGTGCGAGACCCCAGATGCGGTCCTAGGAGCGCAGAAGCGGAAATCGCTGGGCAGAAAAGAGTGAAATTGAGGGTTTGAGTTTATAACTCTAAAATTTGATTGAGAGCTCGGTAGAAGGCGAAATTTGGGGAGATTTTCGAGGAAGTTTGTGGGTAGTGACTCCTAACCCCTTTCTGATTTAATCTCATTAATCTTAGCTTAATTTCATCGTTTAATTTTGGATTTGGGGTGAAAAATTGAAAAAATTTGAGAAAAGTTCTTAGGCCGAATTTTGGGATTTTTATTGAGATTTTGGTATCGAATTTGAGTGATTTTGGTATGGTTAGACTCGTGAGTGAACGGGTGTTCATAATTTGTGACTTTTACTCGATTCCGAGACGTGGGCCCGGGGAGGATTTTTGGGCATTTTTCTATTTTCTTTTCTTAGCTTTGAATTCATTAGCTAAATTAGTTACTTGCAACTATATTTACGCTATGTAATTGATTTGATTAGATTTGGGCCACTCGGAGTTGGATACTCGTGGCAAGAGCGTGATTTCGGATTGATTTGAGCTAGGTTCGAGGTAAGTAGCTAGCCTAACCTTGTGTGGGGGAACTCCCCTTAGGATTTGGTACTGTTTGATATATGAATGCGTGTACGTGAGGTGACGAGTGCGTACACGGGCTATTTGTTGAAAATCCCATTTTCATTAAGTAAATATCTATGTTTTCTTTTAATTGAGTAATACTAGTATATGTAGCCATCCTGTTTAGCTTAGGAAAGCATGCTTACGTGCCTTAACTGTCTTAATTGCCTACCTGAACTCTGTGCAGCATGTTTAGAGTAAGAATTACCTGTCTTCTTTGATACGAATTTAATCAAACTGTAGATTCCCTTGTTGAAACTGTTGTTTATGTTGAATGAGTTGTGTATTTACTTTGGGACTACGCAACGATATTCGGGGAGATCTCCCTGCATATTTATGTTTGGGATTACTGGACAGTATCCCGGGAGATCCTTCTATACTAGATATTTACTTTTGGACTACGGAACGGTATTGCGGGAGATGTCCCTGCACATTTATGTTGGGACTACGGGACGGTATCTCGGGAGATCCTCTGTACATTTACGTTTGGGACTACGGGACGGTATCCCGGGAGATCCCCTGTTGCTATCTCTGTGTACTGAGTTGTTGTTTTTCAGTGACTTCAATTTCGTTGAGTGTTAGCATTTATCTCAACTGCGATATTTCACGTTGTTTTATCTTATTATATATATAAACCAGTAGGGCCCTGATCTGATCCCGTCACTACTCAACTGAGGTTAGGCTTGACACTTACTGGGTATCGCTGTGATGTACTCATGCCCTTTCATGCACATGTTTTTCGTGTGCAGATCCAGGTTCATCGTACCAGCCTCATCACTAGTTGCAGTCATTCGCCTGTTGGAGACTTCAAGGTACATCTGCTGCGCCCGCAGATCCTCGGAGTCCCCCTCTATCCCCTTATGTTCATTTCACTTTCTTTTTGTAGAGATGATGTATAGAATAGTAGAACATCTTAGTAGACTTGCGAGTTTCCGAGTTTTGGGTATTGTTTGGTACTTTTTCTGAAGTGATAACTGTATATGCCGAGTGGCACTTAGTGCTTAATGAATAGTTTTGTTGCCAATAGTTAATATTCATGCTTTTGTTTTTATTTCTGCAATGTGTTAGACGACTAGGTGCAGTCACGACAGTTCACGGAGGGAGGAACTGGGTCGTGACAGTAGTATTTTGTATTGTTAGTGTAAAGCCAAGTTAATATATAAATTACACAAGCCGAATAGGCTAAAAATGAATTCTGCATTTCTGCTTACGTAGATACACCAACATCTATTATAATGGATTTCGTGCTATTGGCATTCCTTTAGTTTCAAGATAGATTTGTAGGAGCTCAATTCAGAATATTGGTAGCTATTTTTAGAACTTCACCTCAAAAGAGACTCAGGCAGGCTAGTTATTGGTATCATACTTCTCGCCATTTTCATGAGAGTATAATTCCTCTTTCAGCCAAATCTTTTTGCTCAGAGCACCTTGTATGCTGTATTGTGCTATTAACCTATATTTTTGCAAAAATAAAGCAAAAAGTCTTATACATTAATTAGACTCATTATATTTTCTATTTTACTGACCACCATCGCTAAACCTCTATCTTAATGGACATCCTAAGCTATTTTTTAACATAAGTCTTATAAATTTAAAGCTTATCAAGTACTTCAGACTTCTCTTTTAAAAGGTATATATAACAATATCTTGAAAAGTCACCAATAAAGTAATAAAATATTTATGATTGGCCAAAGTAGGTGCATAAGGTCCACTAATATTAGTATGAACAACGAGATCTTAGTGGAATTCTCTCCCTTAACTTTAGTCATTTTTTCTTTATCACAATCCACACAAGCTTCAAAATCTTTTGCATCAAGAACAAGTAAAATATTTTTCTTTATCATTCGCTTAATTTTTCTTCAGAATATGACTAAGATGACTATATCATAACAGATAAGACGTTTTACTCATAGCAGGCTTTTGTGAAAAATGATTTCGACATACATTAAAAAAAATCATTTCAGCGATAGAAACCATCACTTAAAAGCACCAGTAACAGCATGTGAATCATAAAAAAGTTTAATAAAACCATTATGTAGTTGAAACAAATAACCAGACTTGCCGAAAAGTGAAACAGAAATTAACTTCCGTCTCATAGACGATACAGATAGTACTTTTCTAAACAAATACTAGAAAATATTTTGAAAAGACAAAATAACAGTCCTATAAATTCTTCTTTCGCTTTTAGCCTATTGCCCACCATAATACTAACTTCATCCTCTTTTGACTCCATCTGCTTGCTAGGTCCTGCAAGTCATTGGTTACATGAACAATTGTACCACTATCCAACCATCAGAAACATCCACAAGACTAGTTTCAAAGCAGACAAAAATCAAAAAATTACTTAGTTTCTTTTACAGAGCACAGTTAGCTTTTTCTTAAGACCTATACTTATTTGCAGTTCCACCACTTGGTTTCTTTTTTAATCACAACTCGAGGATCACTAAAATTATAAGACGGGCCTTGGATATCACCAGGCTTATTAACATGACCATTATAATTACCTGGATGATAAGACTGGCCATGTTTCCTTTTATGGAATTTAGGTCTACCTTCTTGTATACGAGGGATAATCAGTTGATTTGGACGAACTAATAAGGTTCACTACGTCCTCACCTTTATCCTTCCAGGTCCTCCCTTTCTCTACCACACAAATAACGATAAGCTCATTAATACTCTACTTATCTTTTGTGCATTATTGGTTGTCTTAAGCTGGTCAAATTGCTTAGGAATGGACCTTATGGATTGAAAAAATAAGAAAATCATCGGTAATGGTTACACCTAATTATTCAGCTTGGTAGCAATGTTAACCAATTTCATAATATGATAGCGGACACTATATACAAAGTCATACTGTATAATGTACATGAAATCAATCAAGCTACCTATTTCAGCTTTATCAGATTCTAGGAATTTCTATCAAATAGCCTAAAAAAATCTTTTACATTTTTATTATCCTTGATTGCACCTTTTATGCATTTAGAAATGGATCTCTTCATGATCATAAGGCTAAATTTGTTATCCTTCATCAATTTCTCATACTTGGCCTTTTCATCAGGAGTACTAGTAGTTGTAGGTTCAACAGATTTATGTTTATTCAATGCAAAATATAGGTCCATTAGCTCTAACATTATTTCAATATCCTATTTTCACTTAATATAGTTGCTACAAGTTAGAGTTTCAATTAAATTCAATTGAGTAGTCATGTTATTAACAACTATATAAGCAAACAACACTAAAGTTAGAGAGAATCATGAGCATGAATATACAAATCAAAAGAGTCAAAGACATCTATCGCACCCCTCCTTTTGGTGGACAATGCAACTGTCTCCCTTTTTAAAATGGCAAAATGGCCTCCGGACCACTTAAACTTGTACCCATTTATCAAACCCGGTAGATAAACTTAGAACTTTCTCGTTTAAACACTTCAACTCTATAAAATGTATATAAATACACACATCTGACCATTGACCATGCTTATGTGGCAACAAGGTGACTGGTGTGACAGGTGCGTGATGCTCACACTCAAAAGGAGCGTGGAAATATTTTTTAATTAAAAAATACTAAAATAAATAAATCATAAATCAAAAGAAAAGAAAAAGGTAAAGAGAAAAAAAACCAACCTACTTTCTCCCTCCCGCTTTTCACCCACGACCTCCCCTCTCCTTTCTTTTCTTTATTTCCCAGTTTCACTTTTTGCTATTGCTCCACCATTTTTATCATCTTTCACCACAAGTGCCTTTTACCACTTAGTACCCAACAAAATCAAAGATCATTTCTTCACCACAATAAAAAAATCGCCATAGGAGGGGAAGGAATAGCTGCAATGGGTGGACCGTCGATGGAGGTGGAGATGATAATAAAATCACTAAGAAAAATAGGATGTTGATGGACAAGTAAATAAGATCTATATTAGCCATTTTCTTCCTCTTTACCTCAATCTCATCTCTTACCTGTGCAAATCATAGAGAATTGCAGAGACAAATTTTTTTATGAAGAAAAAGATTATTTGGCCAGCAATCTTGCAATCAAATTTTCAAGTCAAAGTTCAAATAAATTAAATTATTGGTAAATAAGATCAAACCAATATTGATTTGCCATTCAAAGCAACGTTTGGTAAGCTCAGATCTGAAATTTTTACATTTTAGTGGTTCTTGCTTTGTTGGTAAGAAAAGGACGAAATATAGAAGAGGGAGGTAGTGGAATGAGAAAAAAGTTACAACTGCCGGAGAAAAATTTCCAGTTGAAGGTTTTCAGTGAGTTCTAAAAGGAAGGAGAAGGGGTACACACAATTACAAAGAATCTGACAAAAGATAATTATTAAAAATCGAAATAAGTGGACCCATAATTTACAAGTGTCAAGAAAATATAATGTGGAAGACATGGCAATAGAAAATATTTAATCCATGTCAACATCGATTGAATAACAGTCATGGTCGTGGGTGTTTATGTAAAGTCATTTAGTTAAGTTGAGGTGTTTAAATGGGAAAGTTCTAAGTTTATCTACCGGGTTGACAAACGAGTACAAATTTAAGTGGCCGGAGGCCATTTTGCCTTTAAAAATTAAGGAGTCCAAGGTATTCATTGCATCCTTATTTTCAGACAAGCGATTCAAAATCTCTTCCTCATGTCATTTGTATTTTTTTGAGGAATTTTCAGAAACCACTATTCTTTAGTGGCTATTAACTTCCTATAACTAACATGTACATACTTCTTATAGCTACAATTCAGTTGTTACGGTAGTGTACTCGTTGTATTCGCGCTACTATAGTCATGAATACAGTGTGATGACCCGATAGGTCATCTTACTTTTTGAAACCTAATTCTGTGATTCGAAGCCTTAAAATCATGTTTAGCCTTCCTCGATTTGCGTGCGCAGCCCATGCATCTTTCCGGAAAGCTTTTATGTTGAAAATTGATAAAAATAAGAAATTTTGCTAAAAAACTTCATTTGAGTTGACTTCGGAAAATATTTCTGGTAAATGGACCCGGATTCGTATTTTGACGGTACCGGTGGGTCTGTATTGTAATTTGGGACTTGGGCATGCCCGAAATCAAAATCGGAAGCCCCTAGCCCGAGATATCAGACTTTGTCGAAATTTGAAAGTTAAAGGCTTAATGAATTTGAAATGTTTGACCAATGTTTGACTTTTTGGATATCGGGTCCGTATTTTAGTTCCAAAATTCGGTATAGGTCCAATACCATATTTATGACTTTTCTGTAAAATTTGGTGAGAAACGAAGTTAGTTTGACGTGATACATACGTCCGGTTGTGAAAATGAGAGTTTCAAAGTTTTTTTAAAAATTCCACTTGATTTGGTGTTCAATTCGTAGTTCTAGGAGTTACTTTGGCGATTTCATCACGCGAGCAAGTTCGTATGATGTTTTTAGACTAATGTGCACTTTTGGTTTGGAGCCCCGAGGGCTCAGGTGAGTTTCGGGTACGCTACAGAGTGAAATTTGACTTGGGGAAACTTGCTGGTGTTTCAGATCTTGTTGCAGGCCTCTGATCTCGCATTTGCGACCTCTGAGGGGTTCGCATTTGCGAGCTACTCATCGCAAATGCGAACAGTAGCTGGGCCACACCGGTTTCGCATTTGCGAAACAACCTTGGCATTTGGGAAGTGAGTGTGGGGAAGGCATTCTTCTTGCGATCACTGGTCACATTTGCGAATATTTCTTCGCATTTGCGAAGATAGCAGAAGTGTGAAAGTCTTCGCAAATGTGATGTATTTCTCGCATTTGCGACATCTGTAGCTAGGTAAATATGACTTAGACGGGATTTTTGATTCATTTTTCAAATTTTCAAACTCAAGAACCCTAGAGGCGATTTTCCAAAGAACCTTTCTTCCCCAAATCATTGGTAAGTGATTCTAAACTAGTTTCTTTCAATCTTCCACTATATTTCACAAGTTTTCAACCTAAAATCTAGAGTTTCCACGGTGGAATTGGGGGGGTTTTGGGTAGAAGTTAGGAATTTGATAAATTGGGGATTTACATCTCAAATTGTGGTCGGATTCTAAAACCAATTATATAACCGGGCTCGGGGGTGAATGGATAATCGGGTTTTGGTCCGAATTTTAGGTTTCGACCAAGCGGGCCCGGGTGTTGACTTTTGTTGACTTTTTTAATAATGGCCTAAATTGAATTCTTTGCAATCGTGGGTAGTTCCTAAGGCTTAATTTGAATCTTTTGGTTGGTAATTTGCTAGATTCTATTGGTTCGGAGGCTTTTTTGAGAGGAAAAGTCGTGGTTGGGCTATAATTTTGGCCGTTGGAGCGAGGTAAGTATCGTGGTTAACCTTAGCTTGAGGGATTAGGACTTAATTGTCTATTTGTTACGTGTTTGAATGTTGGGTACGACATATAGGTGAGGTGAGGAGTACCTATGCGTTGTTGTCGGGTTATAGTATGTTGGTGGGTCTTATTCTTGAAATTGTTGATTTCCTTAATCATACCATCCATGCTTAGTTTAGTTAATCGATGTGTTGATCGTTCTTATCATGTTTACGGACTTTGGTAACAATTGAGCATTGATTCAAAGTTGAGGTTGGTATTGTGGAACTAAATGTTGAAGTAATACTTGTTCTTGTTATTTCTATGTCCTTGTTGTCATTGTTCATTGTTTTAGTGAGGGAGAGTGTTATTGCACGAAGGGTAATGTCGTGCCATATATTGAGTGTTAATGCACGAAGCTTATGCTGCCATATCGTGAGTGTTAATGCACGAAGGGTGATGTCGTGTCATGTTATGAGAGAGTCAGTGCACGAAGGGTGATGTCGTGCCGTTTCTATTGATTCATATGGTAAGGTTGAGAGTAAAAGCACGAAGGGTGATGCCGTGCATTTTTCTTTACTGTGTTTACTCGTTCTTATTTTTTCAAGGTATATCGGTTGATCAAGTTCTTATTACTGTTGTGATTCTTTATCTTGTGATCCCCTCAGCATGACCCCTTCCCGATATTACTTGTCTAGTATCTTTCATTGCTGTTATTTGTACATATATTGTCAAATTGCACAGGTTTATTTGTGTGTGTCTTGTCATAGCCTCGTTACTTATTCGCTGAGGTTAGACTCAACACATACCAGTACATGGGTCGGTTGTATTGATACTGCACTCTGCACTTCCTGTGCAGATTTTGATATTGGCCCCAGTTGATCGAGAGGCATAGCAGCTCGGACCGGATCACTGGAGACTCAAGGTTGATCTGTCAGCGTTCATAGACCTTGAAGTCCCCGTCTATCTTTTCTGTTTACTGTTTTTTTCGTTCAAACAGTTGTATTCCTTTCAGACTGTACTTGTAGTAAATCGCAAAATGTTCGTGAATTGTGACACCAGATCCGGGTAGTAATAAATGATGAAGTTGTTATAATATTCCGCACTCGTTATATTTTAGTTCAGCTTATTTACTGTTGTTTACTGAGTTGAATAAGATTTGGCTTAATAATTTTCTAACGTTGTCTTGCCTAGCAAGTGATATGTTAGGCGCCATCACGATCCCGACGGTGGGAAATTTTGGGTCGTGACAAGTTGGTATCAGAGCACTAGGTTTCCTAGGTCTCATAATTCACGAGCAGGCTTAGTGGAGTCTGGGGGATCGGTACGGAGACGTCTGTACTTATCCCAGAGGCTACGGAGTTTAGGAACAAATTTCACTTCTATTCTTCTCTGTTGTGCGATTTTGTTCTCTCATTGCTAATTGAACTCTTCTACTCTTGCTCTCTCGCAGATGGCGAGAACACGTACCGCATCATTATCTGAGTAGCAGCCAGAGCCACTAGTGGCAGCTCCTACGAGGGGCAGAGGTCGAGGCCGAGGCCGTGCCAGAGGCCGAGGCAGGGGCAGGCTAGAGCCTGAGTAGCAGCACCAGCGGCTGGGCCTCAGGTGAAGTTTGATGAGGAGGCTCCAGCCCAGACCGTTCCAGCAGGACCAGCTCAGGTCCCAGAGGGGTTCATCGCCACCCAGTGCTTCAGGACGCCTTGGTCCGTTTTTTGGGCCTTATGGAGATTGTAGCTCAGACTGGCACTTTTCCCATGGCACCAGCCGTCTCTCAGGCTGGAGGAGGATCACAGACTCCTGCTACTCACACCCCGGAGCAGATGGCTCCCTAATATCAGACTCCAGCAGCTTAGCCAGTTGGAGTGGTTCAGCCGGTTGTTGTGGCACAGGCCGATGGTGGATCAACTATGTCTTTTGATAGCTTATTGAGTTTGGAAAAGTTCACCAAACTCTTTCCAGTTCACTACAGTGGTCTACCTTCTGAGGACCCACAGGATTATCTTGACTGCTTCCATGAGGTGCTGCGGAACATGGGGATAGTGGAGACCAATGGGGTCGATTTTGCTGTGTTTCAGATGACGGGTTCCGCCAAGAGGTGGTGGATTGATTTTGTATTGACCAGACCAGCTGGGTCACCTACTTTTACTTGGGACCAATTCTCTCAGATATTTCTTGAGAAGTTCCTTCCTGTTACCCTAAGAGAGGATTATCGCAGGCAGTTTGAGCGTCTCCAGCAGGGCAGTATGACCGTCACTCAGTATGAGACCCGTTTTGTGGATTTGGCCCATCATGCTCTTTTTCTACTTCCTACCGAGAGAGAGAGAGAGAGGGTGAGGAGGTTTATTGAGGGACTTGCTCAGCCTATCAGATTGCAGATGGCTAAGGAGACTGGGAGTGAAATTTCTTTTTAGACGGCTGCCAATGTTGCCAGGCGAGTCGAGAAGGTTCTAGATCAGGGGAGTGGTCAGGGGTCTGACAAGAGGCCGCATCACTCCGGTGGATTCAGTGGAGCCTCATCTGGAGGCCGAGGTACGTTTGGTAGGGGCCATCCTCCCAGGCCGTTTCATTCGGCACTCCAAGCATCCCATGGTGCTTCAGGTGGTCGTGGCCCTCATATGCATTACTCCGACCAGTTAGCCTACAGTGCACCGCCAGCTCCTATAGTGCACCTCCGCTCTAGAGCTTTCAGGGTGGTTACTCGGGTCGACAGGGCCAGTTTCAGGGTTAGCAGTCACAGCAGCCGAGATCCTGTTGTATTTGTGGTTGTGAGCATGTGATTTTTGCCCTATACGAAATACTCCTATAAAATCCCATGGAAATAGATTTTCTGTTAATTATCTGCCATTTTTAGGAATTTTTGTAGAATTTTCTTAATTATTTGCATTTTTTTGTGCATGTTCAATTTTTATTTAAATCATGAAAAATACCAAAAATATCATGCATTTGCATTTAGGATTTGTTTTTACATTTTTAGAATTAACCGGTAATTATTTGTTTTATAGAAATTTGAAAA